TATATATATTATATATATGATATATATGTATATATATTTATATATATGTTTATGTGTGTATAATATATGTATATAAAATTATATATATTTATATATATGTACATATATATATATATATATATATATATATTTATATATTTATATATTATATATTATATATATATATATATATATATGTATATATATATATATATATATATATATATATATATATATATATATATGTATATATATATATATATATATATATATATATATATATATATTATATATATATATATATATATATATATATATATATTATATATATATATATATTTATATATATATTATATATATATATATGTATATATATATATATATATATATATATATATATATATATATATAATATATATGTATATGTATATAATATACATAATATATATATATATATATATATATATATATATATATATATATATATAATTATGTATGTATATATATATATTATTATATATATATGTATATATATATATATATATATATATATATATATATATATATACATTATCTCTCTCTCTCTCTCTCTCTCTGTGTGTCGGAAGAATATTCGGGCAATCAATAAGAACATTTTAGCCACGAAATCACGGGAGACATATGGGCTGCAAGACGCTAAGTGACCTGAGGGCGCCCCCCCAAGCCGTACCCAGGCGCCGCCGGAAGACGCGCCGTTGACCCGACGCGGCCGATATCCGCTACCCAAGCGGAACCAAGGGACCCTCCAGGACGCGCCTGAGGGCGCCCCCCCCAAGCCGTACCCAAGCGACACCGGAAGACGCGCCGTTGACCTGACGTGGCCGAGATCCGCTGCCCAAGCGGAACCGAGGAACTCTCCAGGACGCGTCGGAACGGGCAGTTCGCGCTGAGACACGCACCGTCAACACCCTTGGCTGACCTCTACTTAACGTCCGTGCTATCCGTGCCCTTCTCTCGTGACCCGCTTACCGCTTGAAGAATAAAGACATAAGAAGCACCACGGCCTTTGTCTACACCCATTTGTGAATCCCTCACAAGTGGCGGCAGCGGAAAACTCTTTCGCAACAAGAGAGACCCCAGCCTCCGGAAAGCAAGATAGGTCAAGAAAAGAACCCTACGCTAACCCCGCCGCGCTCCCACGAACCCACGATCTGCGGCGTCCGAGTCCCCGTGACGCCCACGCCGAGACAACAAACAGCTCCTCCAGCCGAAGCCAAGGTACGTGCGTGTCTGAATTAGTGGTGCTTACTCAACCCCCCCTCTTTCCCCACCCATCCAAGGCCCGATACAGTGTAACTTATCATTGTTGTTTAAAGTCGGTATACTTTACATTTGCTAATTCCGTGGCGATAGGTAAATTTTGTTTTTTTTCTCGGGTTACGCATCCCTTGCACAGCAAAGTGACGTGAATAGTTAGTACGAATCACCTTACATGAGTTCTACAACGAGAACCGGAAAATCCTTTAAAGATAAAGTGCTGGACCCACTCGCAGTGTTAATGGGACATAACGAAACGAACGACGACAGAGTGCAATCACCCACCCCATCCACCTCTCATCATACTTCTCTACCTGTACAAAACCCATCTACTGCTAACTCTCCCCCTGTTAACCCAATTTCTGACTCCTCTGATCTGACCTCCCCTTTGGCCAATCCTTCTCCATCCTCCATTCTCCCTCCATCCTCCAACACCCACCCATCCTCCCACGCAAACACTACCATGGCGCAATACCACCCTCACCAAACCTTCAATGTGTTGACGAAATTCGATGGAACCTCTATGCCCGTTGAAAATTTCTTAAGGGATGTTGAAATATCGGTACGACAAAGTGGAGTTCCCGACACCGACCCGAAATTTAATGAACATTGCGTTATAAGTGCTGAGTGTAGACTAGACCTTACCATCCCTGATGTACGTAACGCCCTGGACACGTTCAAGACTGCTCCCTTGGCCTTATGCAATTGGGAAAGATTTAAGTCGGTCTTCCAAGCATCCTTCCGGCCAGTCGACGCAGGTCATCACTTGCAATTCGCAGCCCTTATTGCAATGAAGCCAGCGTCGTTGTCCGAACAGGATGTGCGGGCTTACTGTAATAAGCTCCAAATTGCGATTTGGAAATGGGTGCAGTCCATACCGTCGAACGAGCCCTGCCCTATTAGAAAAGAATTTGAGGGGGAAAACTATGGTCCGTGGATGACGTACTTCACCAAGGGAATCCTGGCCTCGTCCCTGCCATTGGGTTAGGGAAAAGGTCTGGAGGTCCTGTGAATCAGTCTCCATTTATGCTCTTCCCGGCGAATTCGCGAAATCGGTTAAAGAAAAGTCACCTACGGCAGCCGTACATGCAGGCGTTGTGACACAGAACGAACACACACACAAATACGACATACAACAAGACACCCGACCAACTCAACAAACAGGCCTGAACCCGCAACCCCCAATACACAACACAACACCCGGACCAGTTCAACGACACAACAATCAGCACGCCACAACACACTATAATACACAAAGACCATCACCAACCGACAGCATACTTTACACAGACAATACACGGCACCTCGTCCATCCAGCAGCAAGCCCGCAATAACGAGATGGTTACCAAGTCCAGAGCAATGTTTTAATTGTACAAGGTACGGCCATATCGCCGCGGACTGCACGTTCCCCTCGTCGTGCCCGTATCACCATACAGTAGCAAGACATAACTGGGCGAACTGCAAATCCTTCCCAGAACAGGTTAAAATAACTCGCGACCTGCTAAAACAACGCAGACATAAGCAGCGATCTTTTTTTGGAGTCGAAGGGACAGACATAGACATAATCGAATTACAGAACGACTTCCGCGATTCCCTCAGTTGGCATCAGACGTAATAGATCCCATACGCCATATATCAACATCATGCATTCCCAACGACGAAAGCCAGCCTCCTCTCCTCCCCTCTACATTGAATAATCGTCGTGCATACTTTTTCTTGGATAACGGTTCATCATGTAGTGTAGTATCCATTGATACCTTAAAGGAGTTTGGTTTTTCGTTGGAATTGCAGCCCTCCCATACGACCATCTGCGGTATTACACACGACGAGCTCTCTGGGAAGGAAGATTTTAAACATCGAAATCGGAGGTATTACCTTTCCCCATTCATTTGTTGTTGTAAACAAAAATTTCACCCCAGGTAATCTACTACTGGGTCATGATTTCTTGTTCAGAAGCGGCATTTCCCTGCATCCACAAAGTAATTCCATCATCTTCAATGGTGTTAAGTACCCCCTGAGAGAGCCCTCATGTTTGTGGACACACACCCCGATCCTTTTCACCCGTCGATGTTGATATATGAACAACGCAAAGAAAACGGACTGCTTGCACGCACGACAGCGACTCACCCCAGACCTCCCCCACCCTCCCCCCCATCACCCTTCTCCACCCGGCCGCGGCCCCTCCCTTCCTACCCCCACCCTCCCCTCCCACCCCGGGGAATGCCGACGACACGGGTTCATATTCGCGTAAAGTTGCGGATCGCTCCACTCAAGACAGAAGAGTCGACCGTAACGTTACCTTTGCGAGATCCCCGTCACCCGCGCGCAATGACGACCTTGACGACCCCCGCGCTCATTCATGGACTCGTAACGATGTTTTGCCCCAACTTACCTTGACCGCAACGACGACGATCCCCCCTTTCAGTGACCTCTTATGTAACGTGTCCGCATCGACGGCAGATGGCACGGCACTGGTGTTAACAGACCATGTACGAGTAAAAGGCTGCGCAGCTTTGCCTTCACTTTATAAAATAGTAAATGGTAAATGCCAGGTACACCTCATGAATTTGACCCCAGTCCCCCTCGAGATTAGAGGAGGCGTACCTGTACTTAACTTCGAATTCACCGATCTCCCAATCCGCGAATTCGACTTGCCTACTCCCTCCCCCGTCTGCGCAGCATCACATAGCCCTCCCCAGGTTAACAATGAAGTTCTTCAAGATATTCTGTCACAGAAATTAGCCTTTCAGGACGGCTATAATATCTTGGAAAAGATTTTTCACGATTACCCGACCGTACTGCCGTCAAAAGACCGTCTCATAGGAAGTACTGATCTGATTGAACACTCCATTTCCCTCGAGCCTGATGCGAAACCAGTTTACATTCCATCATATAAAATCCCGCATTCAAAGCGGAAGGCTCTCGAAAATGAAGTGCAAGGAATGCTGGACATGAACTTAATCAAGAGAAGTAATTCGCCCTGGGCCAGTCCCATGATTCTCGTCCCCAAGAAAGACGGATCATTTAGACCCGTCGTAGATTACCGTAAGCTTAACGCAGTAACTATTCCAGAACCGTTCCCTATTCCGAATCTCCGTCTGTTGTTGCAAGATATTGGCTCCGGAAATTTAGTTTTCTCCACTCTTGACCTGGCTAAGGGTTTCTTGCAAGTGCCAGTAGCTAAAGAAAGTCGACCACTTACCGCATTCTCTACTCACATGGGACACTTCGAATTCCTGAGAACACCATTTGGCTTACGTAATTCTCCTCTCACCTTCAGTAGATTGATGTCAATCGTGCTCAGTGGTATGATTAACGATCAGGTTATGGTTTACCTGGATGACATTTTAATATGTTCCCCATCAGTCTCTGAACATGAGAAAAAGTTGCGTCAGGTATTCGAACGTCTAGCAAGCGCAGGGCTAACCATCAACCCTGGAAAGTGCCAATTCTTTCGGTCAAGCTCGATTTCTTAGGTCATACCCTAACGTCCAATGGCATTGCACCCAATCAGAACAAAGTACAAGCCGTGATTGACTTCCCCAGACCACAAAACCAAAAAGACCTGAAGTCCTTCCTTGGTCTTTCCGGTTTTTATAGACCATTTATCAAAGATTACGGATCTATTGCGCAACCCCTCACGACGCTGCTTAAGAAAGACGTACCCTTTGAGTGGGCCAAAGAGACAGAGGATTCCTTCCTGCAACTGAAGGCATTGCTAGCCAACGCACCTGTTCTGGCCTTCCCTGATTTTGAGTTGCCCTTTGTGCTCACGACTGACGCGTCTAGCGTAGGATTAGGCGCAACACTTCACCAAAAGGTAAATGGCAAGCTGCGCCCCATTGCCTTTGCAAGCAGGACCCTCAAACCCGCAGAGCGGTCGTATCATACTACGGACCGAACTCTTAGCTATCACCTATGCACTCCGTCACTTCCGGGAGTTGATACTCGTTATAAGATAGAAGTACACACCGACCACTCCGCTCTCACGACCGCCCTTCACGGCAGAGATCCCCATGGAAGACGGGCACGTGCCATAGAAGTCTTAGCCGAATACGACGTAACGATCGTCTATTTACCTGGCCGGCAAAATGTCGTCGCGGATGCTCTCTCCCGCGCACCCTTGCCATCCCCCGCGGAATTACAGGCCTGTAAGTCCACCCCCTTCCCTCCTAGCTTTGCTAAACGTCATGAAGCCCGAACCACTGCGCCGGTGTTAGCTAACGTAGCTAACCAACCTGTGGACCCTCCCTCCGAGGAAGAAATTCGCCGTGCGCAACGCGAGGACCCCGTTTACATGGACATAATAGGCAAACTAGAGAGAGGCGAACCCTTGGTTCCTGTCAGACGCCTGCCAGTCCGACAATTTTATTTAGCCGACAGCGGCCTGCTCTTCAGAAGAGCCACCCCCAAGAAAATTAAAGGACGTCGGGGCCTCGTGAGAGACGTCGTAGTAATTCCGGAATCACTCGAACCAAGAGTCCTTCAACTCGTACACGAGTCGCGGGAAGCAGCACATTGCGGAGTGTATAAAGCCATTCAGATGGCCAGACAGAGATTTTTTTCCCATTACTCATAACAAAGGTAAAGAAGCACGTTAAGTCTTGCAAAGTTTGTCCTTATTTCAAAGGCTCTACCAACCAGCCCGCCCCTGCCTTGCGCTATGACGTCCCGGATTTTCCCTTTGAGAAGGTCTCCTGCGACACTTTATCAGGTTTTGTAACCACGCGTAGTGGGAATAAACACATTCTCGTATTCGTGGATAACTTTACCAGGTATTGCGAGCTAGTCCCTGTCCCAAATAAATCCGCGAAAGTCGTTGCAAAGGCCTTCCATGACTTCATCCAACGGTACACCACACCTACGTACTTCTCCTGTGACAACGGGACAGAATTTCAGAATGAGGTCATGGACAACCTATGTAAGATAATGAATGTCACCCGCGTGAACATCTTACCTTATAGACCACAGAGCAATGGCATTACCGAGCGCCTTAATGGCTCTATTCTAACGTTTATGAGATCACTGATCGACACCACATCTGACAACTGGGACGACCTCCTCCTCACCATCCAATCCGCCATTAACAGCACTTTCCATTCATCCCTTGGAGATACTCCACACTTCCTCTTGTATGGCTCAGACAAGAGACTGCCGTATGACCTTTTCCAGACTAGACGCAAGCCTGAATACTCGGACAGTTATGCAGAATATCTTTTAAACAGAAATAAGATCGCGTTCCAGAAAGCTAAAGAGTTTCTTACAAAATCTAGGGATCAGATACTGTCATACCAACATAAGATTGCGCGCGCTAAGTCCATAGGTGTCGGCGCCTTAGTTTTCAGAAAAGTACACACCAGTGACTCCATGCGTCCTAAACTCGCCCCTCGCTTTGACGGTCCGTATAGAGTACTCGAAGTAAAGAACAATAAAGCAAATTGTAAATGTTTATCAACAAACACCGTTGCTTGGTACCATTTTGATAGATTGAAGCTAGCTAGCGATCACTACTCACCAGCACACACCTCAGACTAATTCAGTTTCCCACGCAACTAACACAAATCTACGTCATTACACACCCAACACCCGTTATAAACTAACAGGCTAACACCGTGTCTCTCATTTCAGATGCTCGTTCTGATGCTCCTGGCCATGGCTTCACCCTTGCTCGCCGAGCCAGGCCTACCCGAAAGGTTACGCGCCGTGCCCGGTGCATTAATCGAAAATCTAGGCACAGTATTCCCGATATCGAGTAATATCGAAGTTAGGGTCTCCCTTCGCCCCCTCTCTGATATTTCTAACATAGCCATTCACCACTTAAACGAGATAACCAGGCTCCGCAACGAAATAGCTGAAGACAATCTATCTCACGAGAAGTTCTTCCTTCTGGACAAAGCTATAAACTCAACAATGTTTACCTTGCAACAGTTTGTCGTACACAAACGTCGATCGCGTCGCGGACTGATTAACATTGTAGGGAAAGTTGCGCACTCGCTCTTCGGTGTCGTAGACGATGACACCCTTACTCTACATTTTCCGAATATCGGTCAACATTATCTACAATAAGTCAACGTTTTGATACTTCTATCCATAACATTAACGCCATTGCTGACAACATTCAACAGCTACAACACGCCTATAAGAACATATCTCACACCTTCAACGTCCTTCAGAAAAAGATTAACAACGCTAGTCACTTCACAGAACTAACGTTCAACGTTCTTT